AACATCCTAAGGAAACTACTCCAAGCTTGTACTAAAGAGGCACCCTTCTTGAGCCCGGATGGGCACATGTATAAGCAAGTAGATGGGGTCACCATGGGTTCTCCCCTAGGTGTCCTGTTTGCAAACTTCTACATGGGTACCATCGACCAAAAAGTCTTAGTCGAAATGAACTTGAAACCGGCCATATACTGCAGGTATGTTGACGACATTTTTACACAGGTACCTGATGTCAGACATCTGCAGGAGCTGAAGGAGGCATTTGAGCAGAGTTCCGTGCTGCGTTTCACTTACGAGATGGAAAAGGATGGGAAGCTGCCCTTTCTAGATGTAATAGTCATGGAAAAGAGCGGAGGTTTCCACATAGGAGTGTGGTTAACGCTTATGTCGACCGTGCTCTCAGCCACAGCTCAGAATGGAAGCAAGTCGACGAAGAACTCTGTAGGGTAAGGCAGGTCCTAGTCAACAACGGCTTCTCCAATGGTTTCGTCGAAGACATCATAAGAAGGAAAGTGAAACGCCATGCAACCTCTGAAGAGACAACTAACACAACACCTATACCCCCTATTAGACTATTTTACAGGAACTTCTTTTCCACAGCTCATAAAACGGAGGAAAGGGTCCTGAAAGATATTGTTAATAGAAACGTTATCCCTACAGACAAAAATCAGAGGATACAACTAACGATTTACTATAAAACCAGAAAAACGGCCAGCCTACTCATGAGAAACTCTCCAGACACAAAGCAGAACACTTTAAAAGAGACCAACGTCATCTATGCCTTCAAATGCCCTCTTGGGGACTGTAAGCTCCAAAAAACCTAGTATATAGGCAAGACAACAACATCTCTTTCTAGGCGTTTAACGATGCATAAGCAACAGGGCTCCATTAAGGAACATATAATCTCTTCCCACAACCAAACCATCGCCAGAGAAATCCTAGTAAACAACACAGAAATCATCGATAGATACAGCGATAGCAGGCGGCTTGACGTCTACGAGGCTCTACACATCAAGAAGTCAACACCAGCAATCAACAGCCAATTAATGCACAACTATATTCTACCTACCTCAAGACTCCGCTCCAATATAGAAGCATCAAGAAATATGGACCAATAGGCTTTCTTCAAAGCACTTCCATTCAATACCCATTGTTTCGTGTTCTGTCTTGTGTTTAGGAATTTAATACCCTATTAATACCACCTCACCCCATCCACCTCACTCAAATGTAGGTATAAACAAATCGAAGATGTGTAAGTTCTATTCAGTTGTGTATGAGTAAGCTAAAGTCTTTGAAAATGTAATAAGTTTTACAAAACGCGCTCAAGTGTCGCGTCAGACTAGAAATAAAAATGAATTTTGGAGAATTGATTTTTGAATTACCACCAACAGTGAGAAGAAACGTACGAAAGATCGAGAAAATTCGTGTTAGAATTATTAATCTTACTTTTTCGGTCATATTTAATAATATATGTCTACAGGAAAGACTGCTACCAAAATATACTAATATATATATATATATATATATATATATATATATATATATATATATATATATATATATATATATATATATATATATATATATATATATATATATATACCGAATGGAATAAATAAATGAACACAGGTTAAATACATACTATAGTGTATTGACGAGCTCTATTGAAGCTTATATGGGGACATAATTTGTACATGTCAGGGCTTATAATAATTTAAGGTTGTTGTTACATTGTTAGATCAGAGCGGACTCAATCACATTTCGTTCAACGAAACCCTTACTTTTAAATATACATTTTGCCCCCTGTGCAGTCGATAAAAATGATCACATAAACTAGAATGTAAATTCAATGGACTGGAGTTTGGGGTTGTACGAATAGCATATGCATGTTATTTTAAACATGAGGTAAGAGATTTCCAAGTCTGGCCTTTGTAAACACATGCACATTCATTGCAAGGGATGACACAACCACAACCTCGTCTGTACACACAACCTGCTACAGACGAGGACGAATTCTAAATTAACCAGGACTTAACTGTATTAATGTTTTGAACACAGGGTTAATTTTAAGGTTTTTCCTGGCTGGGGCAAGATTTATGTTACGGTATGGACATCATCGTCGGTGTGTGGAGTAGCAATTTCAGCGCCATCTATGGGTCTGCACTCCAACTTCCCTAGTATTGGGCGCTATGTAAACAACGCCATCTGTTGGTGGTGGTGTGGTATCGGTGGAAGGCTCCAGCTTCCTGTCCCAATCAGAAGAGGAGGTCGATGTGAATATCCTCTGATGGGTGGCATATCAAGATCAGCGCCATATAGGTTGTGGCTACAAAGCACAATGTCAATTCCCCGGTGAATGGGTGTTAGCCCAGGGTTACCCAGTGTACTGTCTGTCTAGTTCATGACGTTTTATGTCCACAGAGGTGACGTAAGCAGGCGATTGCATCGAGAAAAACAGCTTGCCTTCGGCAGTCCTGAACTCTTGGTTTGGTCCTAAGTGAGGACTAAGTGGCCGCCATCGCTCAAGAGCAGTGTGTTTGCTGCTGATGTAACCAGTGTTATTTGGACCGACCTACTCAAGATTGGACAGGAAGATTTACACGATTTACACGGTGCGTCTGTCGTGAAGTGCTGCTATCAAGACGCTAGAGACTTCTGCCAGGGTGTTAGCAAACCCTGTATATGTTTGCTTGATACCTCATCAGCGTGTTTTGAACCCTCTGCCAGTGTGTGTACCGGAAAGTGAACGTTGGGTATTGGCGCAGTGTGTACGAAGATACGGTGTGTGTGTGGACTGGCCCATGTGGAAGGTGAACTCGCCTGTATTTGCCAATAGGTGTGAACGACGCGTAACCTGGGAAGTGGATTCACCGGAATTGATGAACACCGTAAATGTTGTGTCCTGTGTGAAATACACTTTGTACATACTGATAGTAATAGTGAAATGTAATATATATAGCGGTGAAGGTGAATATATTGGTATAGGGAATCGTTTATCGCTTATCCCCCCCCTTTCCCTATTTCTTTATTGCACTACTACTTGATACAGTCAGTTCTTGAGAGCTTACTGCCGACTTGGGGTTCAATATAGTAAACGTTCATAACGGCAAGAACCCGGTTATTGGCTTTATGTAGCCGTAACAATTTACTTGTCCATCAAAATATGGTAATACCAACAAGTTTTTTAGTTCTGGTTCAGACTTGGGAGTTTGTAGAACGTCATTTTTGCTTGACCAAACACGACATTCAAGACTGATTTTGGATATTTTTACTTCTTCCCAATTTCAAATATTTTTGTTATTTCTTCATCAAAAAATTCCGGGCTGCAAACTCTCGGATCTGAGAATAGTTCAAGAAGATACTACCCACTTAACCTGAACGTGATGATTTGAGTAAAAATGAACATACGAGCACACAATGGTAGGTTTCCTATACACTTTGAATTTGAAACTCATACCGATTCTATGAATCATGATATCTAAAAAAGACACAACACCATTCTCTTCATTCTTAATTGTGAATTGAATTGACGGAACCAGAGAATATATTCTCTAGTTCTGTCAATTAAATTCACAATTGAGAATGGTGTTCTGCCTTATTGGTACATTCTGGTACAATGTAGAGGTGGTACATTCGCTAAAAAATCTCATGAGCGCACTATAATTGCTAAAAAAAATTTAAGGCATTTAACTTAGGCCTACTTCAACCAGCCTTTGTTCGTTCTGTACACAAGACCCTTTTTCGTGCTAATTTGCATGAGGCTAGCTCCTGGCCTCCATCTTAGGACGGAAAGAAATTTTCTCAAATTGAATAGTTTTATCTATACTTGGAGAGGTACCCCGATTACATCCCTCTTCTTTCCCCCTCTCCCCATATACATCCCTCGTCTTTTCCCCTGTATCCCATTTCCTCCTCCACCCCACCCCCCACCCTCCCGTTCTTGCCCTCTTACCTCCATCTCTCTCTCTCTCTCTCTCTCTCTCTCTCTCTCTCTCTCTCTCTCTCTCTCTCTCTCTCTCTCTCTCTCTCTCTCTCTCTCTCTCTCTCTCTCTCTCTCTCCCACCCTCTCCCCTCCAACCTCGAATAGACTTTTCCATTTATTTATATATAGGTGTTCCAGGCTGCACCCGGGGTCTTTCCTCTCCTTATTTCAGTATTCCCCACTCTTCACCCCCATATCCCCAGTGACGGCCACAACCCATCCCCTTGCTCACTCCCCTCATCTTACCTGTATAGAAGTGTTCCACCAATAAAGCACATCATTAAATTAAATACGTTAGCCCTTAAAATGTGTTTTTCTATAAACACAAACTTGGTGATGAGAACAAGAAGCATAGTGTTGAGTTGAGCACCTTGTTTTCTTATAAAGATCTCATCAATGGGGCAATGTTTATTGATGAAACACAGTTTACTTTAATCGTTCATTTTAACCTCAAACTTTAACATTTGACCTGAAGTGTGTATAATTCCCATTAATTAAAGAAATGCCATAAACTACAACACTGTTTCCAGCAAATTGGGGCTATTGACCTGTTATGGCCAAGCCAGTGTGGTGGCCACCTGGATCTCCGATCTCTTTATCTTCTTGTTTGGACATATCAAGTCTGCTGTTTACGACGATTCGCTAAGAACCAGTAAAGAAGTCAAACATTATATTAGATTCTTTTGTTTGGATGTTGTTGAATTTTACCATAGGTGTTGTTTGTTGAATTTCAGGGAGAGAAAATTTATTATAATCTCAAACAAAATGCAATTTACGGTAAAGAAATTATTTGGAGAAATCGCTAAACTTGTACGACAATATAGCACTTGGAAAGAATATGAGAACAGGGATCTGGGACAGGACGGAGAAAGAAATGATGCCAATCCAATTTCATCATCGGAGATTGAACACCAATCTTCAAGAAGCGAGGCCGTCGCTGCATGAATTTGAATCACGTTTCTATCTCCAGTCTCCGAATATTCTAAACATTGAGCATATTGCCATTAAGGGAGAAAATTACCTGCATAGGTATATGTTTTGGGGGTCGCGGAGACTGGTTGGAAAAGTGGCCGAGGATGACGAGGAAGGCAGAGGATACTGACTGGAGCTCCCTGGGGTCCCTGGCAGGCAGACACCATCCCAACACCGGCACCAGCACCGTCAGTCCCAACACACATCCTGCCAACACCCAGCACGATAATGCACCCTTTTCAGCCGTATATGTACAAACACAAACTCTCACACACACAATGAAACAACAGAGTAGGAGGATAATTCAAAAGGAGAAAACGATAATCATACAGGGACTATCTGAGATAACAGCAGAAACCAAGACTGACCCTGTGCACTCGAAGAGAGAATATGTCGTAGAGCTTTCGAGAAGTCTACACCTTCGAGAGGCCAAGAGAGATTTGGTAAAAGTGTACAGGCTGGGATCATATACTCTATCACGAGAAAACAGGAAACAAGACCCTGGAAACTGACATTTTCGAAAGAAGCACCTGAAAGAATCTCGATGAACTGAAAAAGAGATCTCGGAACATTAAACGGATTTGAAAGATACTACTTGCAAATTGACTTGAGCAGAAGGGAAATAAAAACAAAGATAGAACAAAAAAGGGGCAGTGCATAGAGAACAAATGGAGAAGAGAATGACAGTATGAGGAGGGAGTGAGACAAAAGACAGAAAACAATTACTCCCCCAAAGATATGCGAGAGCGACGCTCACAAAGAAGCAATACAGTGCAACAACAAAGGATGATAACATATGAACGACCAGCTTAGCGTCCCCGCGGCCCGGTCCTCGACCAGGCTTCCTTTTTGTTACACACCTCCAGGAAGCAGCGCGTAGCAGCTGTCCAACTCCCAGGTACCTATTTACTCCTAGGTGAACAGATGCATTAGGGTGAAAGAAACTGACCATTTTTTCCGCCTCCACCGGGGATCGAGCCCGGAACCTCAGGACTACGAATCCGAAGCTCTGTCCACTCAGCTGTCAAGATCCTAGGTAGAACCAAGATCTCCTAAAGCACCTCCAGATCCTTTCACAGACAAAACATTCCAGAAATCCAACATCCATCTCCACCCATACTTCCTCCCACATCTTCCCCTGGATCTCGATCGCAACTTCTTATCACTTACCCACCTCAGCCCCTAATCCCCACAAAATCTACTCACTCACAACTTCCAATTCAACCCAGTGCCTCACAGACATTCACACCTCTGCTTTCTTATTCAGCTCAAATCCCTTCTGCATCTAACCTAAGCCTCCCTGTAGATAGGCTGCGAACTAGTCATTCAAAGGACAGCACAACAGTACAGAACTGGTATACCAATGTTGATGGATTGTTAAATAAAAGAGTTGAACTCGTAGAAAGGTCTGAGGAAACACACTTGTGTAATAGCATTAGTACAGATCAAACTGGTATGATTGGCAATGTAATATTCCCAAGAGAATAGCAAATAATAAGAAGCAAAACACTTCAGAAAGGAGGAGATGGTATGGCACTGCTGGTAAAACGAAACTGGAGCTTCGAGGGGAATTTTTTGAGGTGACAAACAATTACTTGGACGGCATTATTGGAATCATTTCATTGGATGGTCAGAATATGGTTGTTATTGTAATCTACCACCCCCCTGAGAGCTAGAAAAGATCAAGGAAGGAATTTGAAATTAAGAACAAAGCATGTTTGAATATCCTCCGAGGGCTGGAAGACACAGCCCATAGACTGAGAGCTCTTCATAATGGGAAATTTCAATCATGATCAAAATGAGTGAGAAACATTGGATCCAAGAGGAGATGAGACATGGACAGCAAAGTCTGTAGAAGTAATAGAGAGGATCTTAATGAGGCAACTTGCCAGAGAGGAAACAATGTGAAAGGCTGATGACCAACCAGCTAGGTTACATCTGGTCTTCACACAGAATGAAATGGACATTGAAAATATTGACCATGGAATGGCATTAGGAGACTGACCACTGTGTTTGTCTTCGAACACATATTGACAATGAAGACCATAGAAACAAATAACAAGGGGGATGTAAGAAAAGCATACAAGCGAGAAGAATACCAGAAGGGCAGATAATCCATGGGGCGGATGGAATGGGGAAGATAACTCGGAGGAAAAACAACACAGGACATGATGAACTGATTTGGTGTGAAAAAACTTCACTGCTTTTTCACAGTAGAACTTCCGGTTGTATTTTTTTACCATGTTGTATCTCAGTCGATTAAGGCAGCGTCTGGGATCCTCTCGGACGTAGGTTCGAACCCTCGTCACGGCCCTTGTGGATTTGTTCATTTGATGCATCACGCTCTTGTGATTTCTGAGTGTCTCTTACTCAAACCAGAGAAGCAGGTTTGTCTCTGGAAGAGTCCTAAGGTGGAGAGAGAGTATCTCTTAGGAAGGAACCAGAGGGCTACAGTGGGAGCTGAAACATCATAATGGGGAGAGGTTACGAGTGGAGTACCACATGGGTTGGTTCTAGGGACGATTTTGTTTCCAATATATGTCAATGATCTGACAGAGGAAACTGGCTCCTTCACATATATGTTTCCAGATGGAAAACTAATGATTGTGAGTCAGGACATGGATAGATTATAAGGCATTGCAAACGGATTTAGACACACTCCAGAAGTGATCTGAAAATTGCTTCTAGAATTTAACTCAACCAAGTGCAAAGTTATGAGGATTGAAGAATGAGTGCGAAGATCAGTAAAGGAATATAGGATGAAGGGAAGACAAATTCTTCAATAAGAGGAGAACATCCTGGGAGTGGATAACCCATCATCTGGTACAAGTAGCTCACATTACCACAATAACAACAGCTGCAAGAGTCATATTAACCAACGTTTGTAAATTCATCAGAAGCTTGAACAAAGGAGCTTTCCGGGCCCTATATACAGAGGTGAGACCACTCCTGAATATGCATCCCCAACATGGAACCCTTACCTGATTAAGGACAAAGACAAATTGGTATATGTAGAAAGACGGAGATAACTGAACTGGAGGAAAGGAGAGATAGGAGGACTTAACAAGATATACGATTCTAAGGGAAATTTTCAAAGTAGAGCAAGAAACGTTGTCCAAAACTAAAAACAACAGAACGAGGGGTCATAGAAGGAAACTAGAGACGCAAATGAGTCACAAAGATAGGAACTTGTTTCAGTGTCAGAGCTATCAATAAATGACACAGGTTAGACGCAGAAGTAGTTGAAGCTAATTCGATTCCTAATTTTATATGCAATTATGATAAAAGCGAGAGATAAGTCATTGTAATCAAAGAGCGTTCAGAAAGAGGGCTTGGAACCAAGCTCGACCCTGCAAGCACATCTAGGTGGGTAAATCTAGGTGAGTACACACACACACACACACACACACACACACACACACACACACACACACACACACACACACACACACACACACACACACACACACACACACACACACAGTTAGAAAGAACTTTTTCAGTGTCAGAGTAGTTAGTAAATGGAATGCACTAGGAAGTGATGTGGTGGAGGCTGACTCCATACACAGCTTCAAATGTAGATATGATAGAGCCCAGTAGGCTCAGGAATCTGTACACCTGTTGATTTACGGTTGAGAGGCGGGACCAAAGAGCCAGAGCTCAACCCCCGCAAGCACAACTAGGTGAGTACAACTAGGTGGGTGAGTACACACACACACACACACGCACACACCTAGCATATGCCAGGTTGGCTAACATAAGAACGGCCTTTAAAAACTTGTGTAAGGAATCGTTCAGAACATTATACACCACATATGTGAGACCAATCCTAGAGTATGCGGCTCCAGCATGGAGTCCATATCCAGTCAAGCATAAGACAAAACTGGAAAAAGTTCAAAGGTTTGCCACCAGACTAGTACCCGAGCTGAGAGGTATGAGCTACGAGGAGAAACTACGGGAATTAAACCTCACTTCGTTGGAAGACAGACGAGTTAGGGGGGACATGATCAACACATTCAAAATTCTCAAAGGAATCGACAGGGTAGATAAAGACAGGCTATTTAACACAAGGGGCACACACACTAGGGACACAGGTGGAAACTGAGTGCCCAAATGAACCACAGAGATATTAGAAAGAACTTTTTTAGTGTCAGAGTGGTTGACAAATGGAATGCATTAGGAAGTGATGTGGTGGAGGCTGACTCCATACACAGTTTCAAGTGTAGATATGATAGAGTCCAATAGGCTGAGGAACCTGTACACCGGTTGATTGACAGTTGAGAGGCGGGACCAAAGAGCCAGAGCTCAACCCCCGCAAGCACAATTAGGTGAGTACACACACACACACACACGGGGCCCTCGTGTCTGAGTGGACAGCGCTCTCTTGGGACGTAATTCAAAGGGCCCGGGTTCAATTCCCGGCCGAGGCAGAAACAAGTGGGCTTAATTTCTTTCACCTTTATACCCCAGTTCACCAAGCAGCAAATAGGTCCCTGGGAGTTAGACAGCTGCTACGGGTTGCTTCCTGGGGATATGTGAGTGAACGTGTGTTAGAAAAAAATGACAAAGTATATTGCAAGTAGACATAAACGAGGAAAATTGATTGGTTAGAACGGTGGGGTCCAAGAGCTAATAGCTTGGTTCTGCAGGTACAATTAATAAATACACTCACACATATGCATAATCAACAAAAACGCTCAAAATCGCACGGAAAATGATGAACTTTATAAAGTGATGAGGTCGAATTGAACAATAAATTTCGGGTAATGTTTAAAAACTAGTCAGAGCAGAGGGCTCATGTACGGAGGAGGAAAGGCCATCAATACACATCGGCATTCAATATAATTGCTACTGGAATGAGAGTAAAAAATTTGACCAATCATAACTATATGCAGGAAAGATAATACGAATATAAATTTCCATCCACACTTCCGTGGAAATCAACATTCCACAGTCCAGGTGAATGGAATTGAAATATATGAAATAACACAAGATATAAGCGAGCTACTGACGACTGTATTACCAGTTTCACCACTGGCCTGTGTCACTGCAGTGCAAACCCTGTAACTTGCTGAGATGGTAAGAAGCACAGGCTAGGTAAACCCCGGAATATTATAGGCATCATAAGAGTAAAACAAAAATTTCATCAAAATGCAAATCATACTGAGCAAATTTACTATGCTTCGATATGAAAGGAAAGGTTTTGT